ACCCGCACGGGCGTCCACATGACCCACCACACCACACCCTCACGCACCACCCACACAACACACACACACCACACACCCACACAGGCACACCACCACACGCACGACCATCCATCCATCCATCCATCCATCCATCCATCCATCCATTTATCCATCCATCCATCCATCCATCCATCCATCCATCCATCCATCCATCCATCCATCCATCTATCCATCCATCCATCCATCCATCTATCCATCTCTTTATATATCGTTCTATTTATCTATCTCTCTATTTGTCTCTTCCTTCTCATAATCTAGGACATAACAATTTTAAACGATCAATCGTAGGCATCCATAACTTAGCGAACATTAAATCACGTACAAATATACGCGTTGAACATATATATATATATATTTATTAAAGTCCATAATCATATATTGTTGTATTCCATATAAACGAAGGTCATTTTCTTTCTTTCAGCTATTGACCTATCCGCGTTTCTGTGTGGGATTGCCGCCGTGACGTTCATGATGATCGGCGTAGGTCTGGGTGTCTTGGCTTCCTTTATTGGTCGTGCCAACATTATGCTGAAGGGCTGCCAGTTCACATTCATTGCAGGTTAGCATACAGACTTATACCCCGCACAGACTGCAAAATTTGATCCCACATCAAACTAGTCCGGGCCAGGCCCGGGCCAGGCGCGCGTTAAATCGCAGCGTACAAGCACACTGAAGTACACAGCGTGTACACACTGCAAAAATTTGGCCCGCGCCTGACCAGGATTAGCTTGATGTGGTATCAAATTTGCAGTCTGTACGAGGTAATAGTGACGTCACGAATCTCTCCCGCTAGCGTCGCCACCTAACTCCACTCCAGCGCGCACACCAGCATGTGTCCCCCCACACTGGAACACACGCTGCACTCTATGGCATTTACTGTATATGTCTTGCTGGTCTTTTGTACACTGGTTGGCATTGACAGAGCCACAGTTTCAATGGCCCCAATCTAATTGAGCGATGATAGAAAAATACGCGAATGCGTGTGTCAGCCTTGGCGACCATCGATTGTGTCTCTTGGCGACTCCCTCGCGCCCAGTCAGCGCCACCGGTGGTGCATGACGTCTACAGTGATCGTCGAAGGGTAGGCATGCACAGCGACGCACACACGCGGATACTACCTACAGCAAACATCACCTGCTGCCGTCCATGATGCTCGCGACGTCGATAATGCTGAATAGTAAATATCATCGTGAAATAGGGACAACGTTGCTTTACTTGACTGTATCTCCTCATCATCCTGATCATCCTCCTCCCCGTCTTTCGGTCCCTCTCACGTTCACTCTCTTTCCCGGGTGTGTCGCATGTCGCTCTTTCTGCCCCCTTCTCTTCTCTTCTCCTCTCTTCCCGTCTCGTTTTTTCCTGCTTTGATTTTTGTTTTTCTTTGTTTTT